TTACAATAACGTTTCGGTGAAATGTGTATTTAGAGTTCCAGTTTTAATCTGCAGCATGAGCTCCCTTGCTGCACCCCTGGTGCTGGGCCAGGTTCCACGTCCAGCTGGTGGGAGCTAAGGCTTCCTCCCAATCATTGGCCTAAGGGGTGAGAGTGAGATGGGGAGGGGGAGTGAGAGCTTCCACACGTTTAGTGCAGGTTACAATAACGTTTCGGTGAAATATGTATTTAGAGTTCCAGTTTTAATCTGCAGCATGAGTTCCCTTGCTGCACCTCTGGTGCTGGGCTAGGTTTCCACGTCCAGCTGGTGGGAGCTAAGGCTTCCTCCCAATCATTGGCCTAAGGGGTGAGAGTGAGATGGGGAGGGGGAGTGAGAGCTTCCACAGACTGCAAAATAAGGAGCCTCGGGGTGAGCATGCCTGCAGTGTGTAGGCACCCTGGACCCTAGGTAGCCCTGCATGGCTTCCTTTCAGCCTCTTTCTCTCCCTGGACGGTCAGGTGCTTCTGCTGTTACTTTGGTCTCCATCAAATTCTCCCCTCTCTGTGCTTGCCTTGAAATAAGCATAGGTCTATTGTGAGAGCTGAGAGCAAGAAATACAGAGAATGAATGTTGTTAAAGGCCCACAGCACCACCCTGCAGATCTCTCCTCGACTGAGGAAGAGGCAACTATGTGTAATCAATGGTAATAATGAATGTTGTTAAAGGCCCACAGCACCACCCTGTGCGCTTCCCCCCTATACCCCCAGTCATCACACTGCAGATCTCTCCTCGACTGAGGAAGAGGCAACTATGTGTAATCAATGGTAAGTCTTTGGGGATCACAGCATATACATTTCAGAAGATAAATGGTTTACCTCTTTAAAAAGGAAACAAAATAGCCAGAAGATGGGGTTAATGGGCACACTGAGAATCTTATGGACAAAATCTGATTCACTATTTTCTTTGGATCGTTTCTATAGTGCCACCCATGTCCGAGATTCTGAAAAATCCTTACAATAATTAGATCACTTCCAGGAGCCAATGTCCCATTGATCTCCTATCCCACCCCCTATGTTGACCACACACTAAGAGTATCCCAATTAAGTGAGTTGCTGCTTTAGATCAGGAGTGATAGGTAGTCAATTGCATCCTTTTTTTTTTGCAATTTATATTGTCATATTTTGTTGCTTATCATAAAAATCCAACTGCTAATTCAACAAACATTTATTGAGCATTTACTATGTCCCAGGTTAACTCGGTGTGCTCTGCTGTCCACTGCCTACACAGGAAGAAATGCGGGAGGGAAAAGTCAACTCAATCTCAAGAGAGCAGCACCAACTAAATTTCCTGAGACCCTAAACCACAATGCAGGTGATCTAGGCTGCTGGGCCATTCATAGATGCCTAGATTCCTGGAGTTGAAAGAAGCTTCAAGTCCTTCGCATGGATTGTATTCCTGGCCTTTTACTTCTTTTCTTTTTCAAATCAAAACAGGAAGTGATGGTGCCTTGGACTCAGGTGGAGGTGAAGAAGTAGAAAGAAGTAGTAGAATTCTGGGTATATTTTGAATGACATTGGGATGTTTAGAGGTGGGGTATGAAGGAAAAACAGACATCAGAAATGGCTCAGGTTGTCCACCTGAGCCCCCAGTGGCAGGGGGCACCATTTCAGCACAGGAGTCACTGCTCCAAAGAAGGATGTGTGGGAGGGAGGAAATCCCATTAGTGTTTCTGCTATTTTTTTTTCTTTTGAGAACACTTCAGATCTGGAGAAATGATGAAAAGGATAGAATTAAACAAGGGAGGACAATCAGAATATTCTCTCTTTCCCAGAGTGGTTTTTTTCCCCTTCTAATATGTTTTTATCGATTCTAGAGAGAGGAAGGGAGAGGGGGAGAGAGAAACATTGATGAGAGATAAACATCAATTAGCTGCCTCCTGCACATCCTTCACCAGGCATCAAGCCTGCAACCTGGGCATGTGCTTTGACTGGGAATTGAACTGGTGACCTCCGGTGCATAGGATGATGTCCAATCAACTGAACCACACAGGTGAGGGCATCCCCATAGTATTTTCATTCCTTCAGCATTCTACTCAAAGCCCAGAGTTCTGAGTTGAAGGGGTAGCATAGGCATAACCTGGTGGAATGTAGAGAAATAAGAAGAGTCTGTCATGAGCCAAGCTCTCTTGGCCCCAAGAGAGTTCTTGTGTGCTAAAAATATTTCCCAGGACTCTTTATAGAAGTTCAAGCCAGGGAATATTCTGTGAGGAAGTTCACCCAGCAGAGACATGGATCTGATGCCCTGCTAACAATCTTGGAAAATTATAATTTTGCTGCAACTGAAGCTTGAGTACATATATCTAAGCTTCACTGTGTGTGACTCACCCCACTGCCAGCTCCACTAGAATAAGTACTTTTCCTGTCAGATGTCCTATTGTCCCAGGTCCCCTATTGTTGCCTACGGCTGGCACAGAGTAATGCTCAAGAAATATTTATTAAATGAATATACTTGCTGCTAAAATGAATGTTGTCTTGGTTACTCATAAACTGATGACCTCAAGGTCATTAAATTACTGTCTTTTCTGATGCAAGGTACTCCGTTGGAAACTGACTCTTAGATAGGAAAACAACAATGAGAAACTGGACGTCGTAGAGGGAGGAAGCTGCGTTGTGTTGGTGGCAACCACAGAAGACACGTGCCAAGTAAAGAAATAGAGAACTTGAGACTAAACGAGTGCTCCACCTTTCTGCAGCAGGCTTAACGAAAGACACGTGTCTTGTTCTGTTTTGGAACAGGCATCAAGTGCTACTACAAGCCTTGCTGGATAGATGGGCAGGGAGAACAGGTGAGAAACAATTGACTCAGAGGGCAGTGCCTTCATTTCCTCTGGTTGCCATAACAAATTACAAACATGGCGGCTTAAAACAACAGATGTTTATTCCATAGAGTTCTGGAAGCCAGAGCTCAACATCAGTTTCATTGGGCTGAAATCAAGGTGTTGGCGGTGCCACACTCCCCCTGGAGGCTGTAGGGAACATTTCCTTTTGCTGGCTACCACATTCCTTTGTGATTACATCCTCTAATCCAGGGGTGGGCAAACTTTTTGACTCGAGGGCCACAATGGGTTCTTAAACTGGACTGGAGGGCCGGAACAAAAGCATGGATGGAGTGTTTGTGTGAACTAATATAAATTCAAAGTAAACATCATTACATAAAAGGGTACGGTCTTTTTTTTTTTTAGTTTTATTCATTTCAAAGGGGCCGGATGCGGCCTGCGGGCCGTAGTTTGCCCAGGGCTGCTCTGTCTCTATCTTCACCTTCTCTTGTGGTGTTTAATGTCACCCTGCCTCTCTCTTAAAAAGACACTTGGGATTTGATGTAGGACCTGCTTAAATAAAACAGGATAATCTCCTCACATGAAGATCCTTGACTCAATCACAAATACAAAGACCCCTTTTCTTTATAAGGTAACATTTACAGGTTTCAGAGATGAGGACCAGGTGTCTCTGGGTGGCCATTATTCAGTCTACTACACGCTGGACGGAACCTCTGAGATTTCTGAGTGTGGCCCAGGATTCGCGGTGTCCCCACGGAGAACGGAGGTTCAGGGAAAGGGACTCATCTAAAACTGCTCAGGAAATAAGGGGAAGATTTAGGTCTAGACCAGCCGTGGGCAAACTACGGCCCGCGGACATTTACAGGTTTCAGAGATGAGGACCAGGTGTCTCTGGGTGGCCATTATTCAGTCTACTACACGCTGGAGGGAACCTCTGAGATTTCTGAGTGTGGCCCAGGATTCACAGTGCCCACATGGAGAATGGAGGTTCAGGGAAAGGGACTCATCTAAAACCGCTCAGGAAATAAGGGGAAGATTTAGGTCTTTCAGTTCCAATCTGGTCTTTGGTCTCTAGTTCAGGTGCCCCCCATCTTCTGCTCAGAGAACTGTCACAGAAACCCTGTCATAGCTTTTCAAGATGAAAGATCGCATGCTGTAAAGCACAGTCGGAAATTTCAGGGTTAGCTGGAAGATGTGCCTTTAGTTCATACCCTACTGGGAAGTCTTGGTACCACTGCAAGTGGTTGGGAGTCCACATTTCCCAGAGAAGAGGCTGAATTACAGAGGTCACTACATAGTTACCCAAACTAATGGCCACTTACTTACTGGGTTAGCTCCAAACCTGCTCTCAGGTAAAGGCCTGCATCACCCAAGGTGTAGAGTTCCCTGGCTCTACTCCAGTTCTGGCTGGGCCAGAGAAAGAGAGTGACAAGTGTTGGGCATATAACCTGTGTTCTACAGCCTGAACCTGTGTTTCTTCATCTCACCACTATTCCAAAATTGGAATTTGTGAAACAAAGGAATAGGGAGAGAGATATAATTGCAAAAGCATGGGGTCAGGAGTTGAAAGGTAGAGATACATGCCCAGAAAAGCACACTGGAGTCTTAATTTCCTCATCTCTACAATGGGGATGAAAAGGACACTATTTCATAGGGCGACTGTGAGGATCAAATGACATAACACACATGCCCTTTGCAAAATGGAGTCACTATGAAGATGCAATTTGGGTAGCACCACTCTTTGGATGGCTGAGAATGCTTCCTCCTTCTTCTCCTCATCACAACAATGACTATAATAGCAAATATTTATTAAGCAGTTACTGTGTGTTAAACACTGTCCAAAGAGCTTTCCAGGGACTACCTCATTTTCAACAATTCTCTGAAGATACTAACTACAATCCATTACGAGCTACTGTACACAGTGGAAGTTCATACATTTACTAAACTGCAGATCTCAGATACAGATATGCATAGAGACATGCTCTGAACCACCTCCTAAACTTCTGCCCAGGAATTCTTCAAACAGACCTTATGCACTCCCCAAGCCCATTTCTGTCAACTCTCACATAGGCAGCCCTACTAGGGCAGGCGAGAGACTGATGGGCAGGGAAGTCACCATTTCTGGTGACTTAAAGGCGAGCAGTGCAAACAGTGGCATAACTTCATGATGCACACGCCTGTGATGGCCTTCAGTATTTGGTCCTCACTCAGTGGAGTATAACAGGAGACGCGGAGGGGTCTTTGAGAGCAGGCTTTAGACTGATTCGTCCACTCCTTTATCATGTAGACTATCTACATCTAGACCTTGGGCTGAGCATGTCACATTGCTAGGAAGTAAGAAAGGTAAATAAGTTCCCTGCCAGGGGGACAAGCACAGGTTCTTCAAGAGCCCATAGGTGGGACACCTAACTTAGCTAAGGTCCTTGAACAACAACAACAACAACAACAACAACAACAACAACAACAACAGAAAGAGTCATGAAAGAGGGGGAAGGGCAACTGAGGCACAGGGATCAGCATAGGCCAGTGGTTGGCAAACTGCGGCTCGCAAGCCACATGCGGCTCTTTGGCCCCTTGAGTGTGGCTCTTCCAAAAAATATCGACTTCTGCACATGGGCCACAAAGTTTCAATCGCACTGTACGTGCGTGCCCGCACGTGGTATTTTGTGGAAGAGCCACACTCAAGGGGCCAAAGAGCCGCATGTGGCTCATGAGCCGCAGTTTGCCGATCACTGGCATAGGAAAAGACAGGGCTATGAAAACCAAATAGTACATTTAGGAAACTGCATAGGGCTGAGTATGAAGTGTGAGGCGGGAAGCATATCATGTGGGGGTCTGACCTGACATTTATGATGCCCACCTGATAGGTAAACCAGTCTTACTTTTTTTTCTCCTCCCCACCCCAGAGCAGCACATAGGAGACACAGGGATGATGTTCACAGTCGTAAAACACTCCCATTTGCAGAACTAATATTATGAATAACTCATTTTTGCCTATACCCAACCCCTGCTCATTTATGGTAAAAGACTCTCTCCTTTGCATTTGGGGGCTAAAAACAAAAAGGTTTTCCTGTAGTAGTTTTCACTTCTAAAGTACTGTGCAACTTTCTTGCTTATCAAGTCCATTTTTAATTCCGCCTCCTCCCACAATGAAGATCCACAGAGCAGGGTTTCACTGAAGTTTCCATGCACCTAGCTAGGGCTGACTCCATGCTGGCACTACATAAACACACTATTTGTTAAATGAATGCTGGGTGTGTGACCCAGACAGGGCAAATAAAATATCTTACTAGAATTGCTATGGTTTCTCAGAGAGACATTGTATTTCTTAGATCATATCTCCAGGGACAATATAAGCCTAGACTTGCTATCAATGACTGTCTTTGCTACCATATGGAGAGATTTTGCTAGAGAATTAAGACAATAGAGAGACAGAAAGAGAAAAAGGGGGGTGAGAGAAGGAAGGCAGAGAGAAAGGGAGAAAGATAAGATGACATTTCATTTCCTGAGTAGACTCTTGCCTGAAGTCAGATACCCCTGGGTTTCTCATTGATGAACGGCAACATTGCGGGGAGGAAGTGAGTGAGTTGGGCTCATTTGTAGCCCTTGCACCCAAGACAATCTTGACTTACAGATCTCAGCTTATGTATAATTCCCAGCTGACTCACTGTACCGTCCTGCATACCCCTATTTCAAGAAAGCCCATCCTGGTGTAGGTGATAAGAATGATATGAACCTACAGTAATTTGTTCCCAAAATGTTAATCATTGGCAAATTCTAGTATTTTAATGATCATTCCTTACAAATTGTTTGAAATACACCTTAATTCCGATTGCATACTTCTGTAAGGTTGATACACCAGGGCCAACCTCCTGATCCAGTTCCACCAAGATCACAATCTCAAATGTCCGGATGACATAATGGCTGGAGGAGAACCACTCTAAGGGAGTAGGGGAGCAGGTGGACCACAGTGACCTAGAAAGTTTTGTTTTCCTAAAATGAGCAATTCCCACCTACTTTTGCTAGGCTAGAAAACAGGCCAAGTGTTGCCACTTCTTTTTTTAAGAACAACTGAAAATCCAGAAGTTTTATGAAATCTCCCAATTTAAAAATTGCCCATGTTTTCCATCCTCTGAGAGCCAAAGAAATCATGTATAGGGGTCACATTTAGCTCACAGGTTGCCACTTTCAACATCTGACTTTTAACCCTCTTTCTGCCACGTCCCTCCCACGTGCAATGGAAAGTGATTTGGGCAGCCTTGCCTTCAGGGTTTCAACTGACTTTAGGAATGGACTTGAAGCTGTGTGAGTTCATTCTGTATGTAGCCTATTCTAAATGAACAGCTAACAAGACCAAGGGTAGCTTGAACTAGCCCTCTGTTTTTTTTATAACCTAGACACACATTGCAATCCCATCCTCCTAACTAACCCCCCGGCCCGATGCCTGATTTCCTAAGGGTGACTGTGAGTCACCGGTGCCAGAGCCAACAAGGACTCCGTGGTCAGCCAGCCCACTGCCTCATTTCCTGGCAGGAAAGTGCACAAAACCTTCCAAGACCGATACGTGTCCTCTCACTGCTACCTGAGTGCACAGCCCACTCTTCACAGCCCGAGAGCCAAGGCCGTTCACTCATTTGGTGACATTTACAACAAGGAGCAATGAACTGAAGGCCCTGCTCTGGGCCGAGGGGAAGAAGGGCTAATGGAAATTTGCTTTGCGGTTACTGTAGGTAATTCACCATACTGATGAGAACTGAATATTGATATTTTTTAACCAGACTTGGGTAAAAAGACTGTTTTAGACAATCTAGTTTTTCGGTTGGGTATATTCAAGTGCTGATATTAATAATTAATTCCCACCTGAAATATAAACTCAGAAAGAAATGATATTACAGTGTTTTTCAAACAGAGAGAGAATGTGGCCCTGCATTGCTTTTTTCTGCCCTTCAAGAAAGACTACACAGCTTCCAAACAGTAAAATCAAGGTTAAATCCTTTTATGTTGCCTGTAGTACACAGAATTACCAAATCGCCTCCAAAAAAATTAATTTAAGAAAACCCTAAAACATTTTGTTTGGAGATTCTGTTTCAGTCCCTGGGAAGACTCAGTAATTACTTCCTCTGTACCTCAGAGCAGATTTTTCAAGCAAAGTCTAGTACCAACATAACACAGATGATAGCCGAAGATGGATGATATCATAAACAACCTTCAAGGTCTTTTCTGTTCCTGATAGGTGGACCTAAACTCCTGGTATGCTGGCATTTATTTGTTAGCATGTTTATGCATTGTTCTGGGATTCTCTGTTAATCGAGTGTCACTATATGAGCAACCCACTGCACATTAGACATCTTTTAAAATTAATTACCAAGAGGCATGCGAGATGCCTATTGGCAAGCTTCCTCCTCCCCCTCGATATTCTACTAATGGCCATCACAGCCAACACATGAAGTGTGCCTACGCTGAAGAGACAGGCACGGGCATGCTGGCTGCTATCCTTGAATTAATTTGAACTAGTGACCCATTTCCAAAGTATCGTTTAAAAAGTTTCAAAGCTACTTTGACTTTCTCTTCCTGAATCCTAGGAATTGTTTTTCCTTAAACTTTTATTAAATGTTTAACTTTATTCGTATCAGGGACTTCTTTAGTAGAAAAAAATTAATAAGTGAGATTGTCCCAGCTCTAGCTACATTCAGCAAAAGAGATGAAAACAGTGTTCCTGCCTTCAGAGAGCTAAAAAAAAAAAAAAAATTACCTGCAGATGGGAGATCAGCAAGCATGAAATGGCCTAAAAGCAATTACAGTACAGCCTCCTTTAGCGCCATTGAGAGGTTCTGTGACTTTAAGTGAAACAATGTATAATGAAACCAACGTTACCATAGGCTAATTGATATAAACAAGGGTTAAGTTCCTGTGGCATCTCATCAATGTTATAAAGAAATGATGCCGAACAAAATGATGTTACTTGAGAACCTGCAGTAGGTGATAAAACCTGTAGCAAAGACCATGAGGGCCATGAGATCTAATAGGAAAGCTTTGGAAAACAGAAAGAGGCCTTGGTTCTGGAGCTGAAAGTCAGGGTTAGATTAACCAGTTATTTGCTACATGGTTACTGTGATGATCACCTCACTAGGCTTCCGATTCTTTACTTGTAAATTGGGGGAAGAAATTACACCTTCTCTCCCAAGCTGTGCTGATTAAGTACTCTACGAAGTAGGCAGAATAGAAAGTATCATTGCCACTTTTAGGACACACAACATCGGATGGGCAGTGGTGTAGCTCACTCCAAAACTAAGACAGGGGCACCGGAGGCATGGCTTCCTCATCTGTAACAGGGGAGTAATGATTTTAGTCACTTTTCTATATGAAAGTTAAATTAGGTAGCAAATTTGAAAGAGTCTAGCATAGTGTTTGACTCAATACAGGTTTTTTTCAATTAAACATACAGGTTACAACAAGGTGTGTCTTGTTTGGGTTTCTATATTTATAGTTACTATGTCCTATATAATAAAGAGCTAATATGGTAATTAGACTGAAGAGTGGAACGACCTTCAGGAATGACCTTCTGGAATTACCAGTGGGTGGGGCCACGAGGGCCAAGGCAGCCGGGACTGCGAGGGCTGAGCCCCTTGCACAGATTTCGTGCACCAGGCCTCTAGTTATAATATAATCATGAATTTGTTCACATGCCTGTCTTCCCTCCCCAATTTTGGGCTCTTTATGAAGAGAATGTGGGTTTCAGTTAACTGAGTAACTCCAGATTCAGCAGTTGGTAGATGTTTACTAAAGTTTTGCTGAATGAATACATGGCCCTATGAGAAAGAGAAAAGAAATTATATAATCCCCATTTCAAAGACAAGAAAATAGGCCAGAAAAGTGAAGGTGCTGGCCCAAAGTCACAGGGCTAGGAACTGGCAGGGAAAGACGAGAACCAAGACATGTGATTCAAATTCATGCTGTCTTCGCTTAGAAAGGCTATGCACACGTCAGATTAGCATTCACTTACTAAAAATCAATGGTGCATGAGGCAGGGAGGAGAAGGTACAAAGATCCAGCCCTGCAGGGCCACTGACCCAGCTTGGGACCACTCAGAGGTCAATCCCAGCCCAACCCTTCCCTCTGCCCAGTCCTGTTTCTGTCATTTCCTCCACAGGTGTTGAACCTGAGGACACCACCCAGTAAATGTCCAACTCACAGATCTACTCTGAGCCCGCTTTCTGGGGGACCCAAACTGTGACAGGCTTTTGCTGGACAAAGGGGGCCCAACTGATTCCCTGGCATAAACCTTACAGGTTGCCTGTAGCAATTTTAAAACAGCCCAGGTGGCTTCCCTGTACCATCCGGCATGCTTCTGGTCACCTACCTTCACAGATGTGTGTGCAGGGAATGAAAATGAATTTTTATAGTGACCTCTGCAGTATATAATTAGTAAGATAATTCTGCAGCTAAAAATTCTTGTGTATATCATCTATTGATTTTATGTGTGCCTCATTTCCATAAAACACTATATAATCATAGTACACTGTGTTTGAGCACCATGTAAATCATAAATACGTATACATATGCATGCACACATATATTTCCATACACATATGAACATGTATGTATAATTTATCTTACCGAGGGCTAGCTCTATGCCAGGCACCATGATACATGCCTGACAGGAGTTAATTCACTGGGCTCTCAGAGGGAGGCACAATGACTTCTATTTGTTTTTTTAGATGCAAACATTAAAGCCTAGAGGGATCCTCATAAAGACTTCCCAGCTAGAAGAGTTGATGCCTTGGCTCAAACCCAGGACCACCACACTTCAGGACCACCAGACCTCTGGCTTTCCTGGCTGTGACAGGTCCCTTGTGCTTTTAATCACTACACCATACTGAACATTAATTTGAGCAAATTTCTTACAAAAATCTGTGAATTTGATAAAAGAATAACAAAAACAAAATGAGACTCACTGGTTCCTCATTTTATAAACTTGGCTTTTACGTAGTAAATATTTCCTTAAATCAGGAGACACCAAGAAATACAAACAGGTGAAAGTCACCAAGCTTTTGGGAAATACATCACATTGTCCTTTGTAAGAGCGACATCTTCTCGTGAGCTTCGCTTTATAATCCTTTCTATGTAGAGTAATGGAGCATCGCAGCATACACACACCTTCAGCTACAAGAATCTGTAAGCCAACACACACTCCACCAAGTTGTGACTGTGAGAACACACCCCCAGAAGCCAGGAGATAGGCACTGTCAAAGGAAGGGCTGATTCCATTGAATATTGATTAGCCTCTAAAAAGAGAACTGAGATGGAAAAAACATCTCATAACTGATAAATGTATTGCTATCATAACATCAACAACTTGACTTCAATCAAAACTCTATTGGTTAAATTAAGTTCTCTACATAAAAATGTCAAATGTTAGAATTTCACTATCACAGTGAGTAATAGCTTCAAAATGTGGCTAAGCTGAAGAATTCAATGATACCATCCTTAGAAATGGCTTTATGGGATTGCTAGGTCTGAAATCATAAATCTCTATTAGAACGTGAAATTTCCATTGGTTTGGGTTGCATTTCTCAGTGCACCATCATCCCAATCTAAGCCATCTAGACCATTTTTGTATTGTGCTGCTACCAAAAAGAACATAAGTATTTGTAGTGAACATTCCTAGAGTTCTCCCTCAATCACAGAGTGATATGAAATTGGACACAAGAAAATTTGAATTTATAACACTTCTTTCAGACTTTCTTTGATGATAAAGTAATAGTCTTCAAGGTTTTTTAAGCCCTAGGTCCTGTGTATTTTCTGGATTGGATTATTACACCATTAGGCTTTATTTGAAGTACAAAACCATTAAAAACTAACAAGGATATAGAAGTCAGACCCTATGATGATTCACCTTTTAAATGAGCTAAGTCATAAGATTCATTGCTGGGAAAACACACACACACACACACACACACACACACACACACACGTATAAAACATCTGAAGATATTGGGATTGCTCATATATTTAGTAAATGCTTCTACATTTAACCTTGAAATTTTATTTTCAGAATGCCTTTCCACCACTTACAAATGTATCCATGTGATTTTTTTTTTCAATCCAGCTTTTAAGATGAAAGTAAGCCTTTCTTGAGCACGATTTACATTTTGTTCATTTGTTCCCCACAAATTATATTTTAAGCTCAATATTCTGATTTATGAAGCTCCATGTCCTTGTCTTCCCATAAGAAAAAGACACATTTCCAAGATTAGATTCTAAACAATCCACCGCATGTGATTATTAAAACACAGGAAAGTTCGAGGTGAAAAAAAAATCATATGCCCACAAAAAGAAATAATTCAGTATTTCAAAATCATTGAAATTAGAGATGGAAAAGGCTTATTAGGTCATCAATCAAAAAAGAAGTACATGCATTTGATACCCAGATTTAATATGCCAGAGATATTGGGTCACCCGAGATGCCTCTAATCTCTTGATAAAGTGGAGAAACTAAAAAAGAACACTTAAGGAGCAGAGCCCTTAATCAAAGGCAAGTCCTCACAGATCAAAATATCAGAGAGAAATATGTAAGATGCCGGGGAGAGGCAAATGGAGCGATGACACTGAACTCTCAAGGAGATACAACTTGATTGGAAAGTTCTCTAGATGGAGAGGAAGTCATGTATGATAGCCGTGACATTCATGCTGACAGTGTCCAGGGATGGGCTTTACAAGGGACCTGTCACAGCCGGGAAAGCCAGAGAGGTCAAAGGCTAAAGGTTATTATTGTGTGTAAAACCCCAACCTTTCATCTAAGGAATGTAACAACCCTTAGAAACCTGCTCTGTTTTCCTTCCAGTGAAGAGCAAAGGCCGGTAGTAAACATTCTTCTGAGTGTGTGTGTTGGGGAGGGTAAAAAAACTGGGACTGATAAAGCAAACACATACAGAACAGATGCTGGCATCTGCCAAGTCAGCAGACTTCTCCAAATCTTTAAGTATCTTCACATCTCACCACATGACCTTAGATAACACAAATCTTTGGTAAGCCAGAGTCCGGTTCATCTTTTATTTCTTCATTAGAAAAACAACCTGACACCAGTAACTAGTTGCTACAAGCCACCTGAAAAAGAGAAGCCTGCCAGAATACATAGTGAAATGGGGTTCAAAGAAGCTGCTGGGGAGCAATCTCTAAAATGTATCAGAATCTCCTCAAGAGTCCACCCACACGCCCTGCCCTGGGAATTGGGTACAAAGTTTCTCTCCTGATTTCTTGCATCTCTCCACATACACTGAGGTGGGTACCTGCGGAGGTGACTGGCCAGCCTGCCAATTCCTTTAAGGCAACTCTGAGAATTCCGGAGGATTTGTTCATTTCAGCCAGGTCCCTGTTGCAACTGGGCTAAGGAAAACAGAGGTAATCAGATAAAATGTACCCTAAACTGTTGAGCAAATTGGGCTAGAATTCTCAGTGGCAATGGGGAATAGGTCTTCTATACTTTGATAAATTTTACGTGTGTGTGTTTAAATTGAGACAGTACAGCAGAATGG